GATTTCAGTTACTATTACTTAGCACTTTAATAGGTAAAATCCTAACCCTTCTAAACATGTAAATAAAATACATAGCTGCAATTTTGAACAACAAATTGAGGAGATAGCAAGTAGGATGTTATGTAAGATTCCAAAGAAAATCTCAGTAGACATACATGTTAGCCATTAGGATTTCTGAAATGGATTTATAAATGTCACAAAATGCATCAGTATCGCTAAGACAGAAATCAAATGCATTCTCATTAGATTAATTTGCACTTATATAAACAAACTTGTAAGTGTTCAACAATTTATAGAATTGTCCAATACCTAAAAATCTGTGAAAGAGCTAAATAGCTTCAAAGAATGCACTAGACAGGAACACTCAGAAACCATTTCACTCTTTCAAAGACTCCAAAAACCTTTTGTGACAGAATAAAGACCATGCATTATAAAATTGAATGACTCACTATACAAATGTAAAGAATAATGTGTTGTTGGAGCTCAGGGGATTGAAGAGACAGGGTGAGGTTGAATAGATGTGTAGGGGCGACCTCATGAAAATTCATTTAGCTTTGTTTGGCATTAGGGAATGGGCAGCAACACATTTGAATGAAGCAGTGGTAATTTCCACTTCTGCTTCTGCAGTGTAGGAAGACTATTGCAAACATTTTTGAGTTAGCTCTGCAAAAGGATGTAATCAGCCCTGAAGGTTCTTCATTTCTAATAATGGAATTTCTTCAACCAATAAAATCTCATTGTTAAATAGATTCTACTGGTCTTTATATGTATTTAAATATGTAGGCAGGAGGACTCTCTCTTGGAGCCCAACAATGAATTTATACATGTATATAATCCTATTTGGATTTCCACTTCTCTGTCTTTGAAGTTCCTTAATAAACCAAAACTTAACATGTTCACTATTTGATGTCAAATTTTATTTTACTTTTGTATTAGTGTCAAGAATTTTGTTTCTGTCTTAACTCTTATTTGTACCAATATACATAGTAGTATATTTTGATTCTTAAAATTATAATTACAGTTGAGAAAATTTATAATTCCATTTGTTAATTGGGGGTACTGTACATTATGGAATGTCAAGTGTAAGATCATTTAAACAGTTATTTGGGAGCTGAAAAGTAACCTAATTTTTATGAATGAGTATAGTATTAAAGTAATTGTTCAAAGGAAAATTAATCACTTTTTAGTAGGTGATTTCCTTTCCAATTCCTATTCTTAATGCTCTTGACACAATTAACTTTCAAAATAGATAGCAAAATATTATGTTAAATTTGACAAATTTTCCAGAGCAGAAGATCTATTTCATAGAAAACTATAGACATTCTGACTTTCAGGTAAAATCTATTAGGCAAAATTTAGTCCTTAATTTGCAAAGACACATTTGAATTATTGACATATCTTTCATTAAATCCACAAAGGTAGCTGAGAGTTCTGTTTATTTCAATTGTTCTTTTCGCACCTATTCATGTTGAAGAACTGGATGACTGAACTAAAGCTTTCCCATAGTCTGGCTCTTAGACCTTATTTATCCATTCTGCAGTTCAACATTCACCTCTATCCTGCTTTCCTCCTGACAGCGGATGAATAGGTACAGAGAATTGGTCTGAATTAAATTTTGTTTCTTTAGCAACTCTGGGTAGTATATGGCAAGGTTACAGAAATATCATAATGCTTAAACACCTTCAAGTGACTATAACAACTAAGACAGCTTAATACTTTTAAAAATAATATGCTATCAATTAAAAAATAGTTTCTAGTACCTTTTCCCCCATCTCTATTTGTATTTAAGGACTTCTTAATGAGAACATTCCCTTTTCACTGTTGTATTTTCAAATCATGGTAGAGTGAGATACTGGAGAATGAAGAATAATTTCCCTGAGTATTAACCAATTTTCATGACAATAGATTTATTATGTAATCCACTCTAATAAACAATTCTCATTTGATACCATATGGTATCCAGGGATGTCTGTTCAATCTGTTATACTTATTAAGCTTACTGATGCTCAAATAAACTCATTTTGGTAAATAAAAGATTCCCAAAATTTACTTGAGTAATTTAAATTTGATGTTACTAGTTTTTGATCACATACATGCTTTTGTGTATGACAAAATTTGCACTCAATTGGCATGTTTCTTTTTAAAAAATTCTATTATTTTTGAAACTAATATATTTACATCATTTAAGCCTTCCTTTCCTTCCTCCAAAACCATACATATATACACATATATACATATATATGTGTGTGTGCGAATGTGTGTATGTATGTATATATGTAAAAATAGTAGGTTTTTACTAGTATATGTAGTATGTATGTATTACAAATTCTAATTAGTCTTAATAAAATCCTATAGCCAGCTATCAGGGTGAAAGCTGAAAAATTAGAAAAGCAGAGCAGCCAGCCACTAGAAAGACTTATTACCTCTAGAAATCCTTAGACTGAAAGGGCTGAGCTCCTGTCTCAACCCTGCCTTATCACTTCCTCTCTCCACCCAGCAATATTACTTCTTGTTTCCTCCTCCCAAGTGCTGGGATTAAAGGCATGTGCCTATCAAGTACTGGGATCAGAGGCATGAGATACAAACTGCTATGATTGGATATGTGTGCAACCACTGCCTAGTCTCTAGTAGCTAGCTCTCCACTCTGATATCCAAGTAAGATTTATTTGTTAGAGCACAAATAAAGTATCACCATAGATACATATATTCCTGAATATATAAATACTACCTACTCTGTCTGTAATGTTACTTATATGTACAGGTTTTTCAATCAAACTTTTAAAGAAAATATAAAAATAAATTTTGAAAAGCACCTACGAGAGCAAAATATGACATATGTAGTATCAATCATTATACAATTTGCATACAGGATGAATATGTAACCTCTTTAATAGTATTAAAGAAAAAAAGATGTCATTTTGTTGATCTATCCAGAGAAAAACAACCTCCCTAAATGAACATGAGGAAAAGACTTATCATGTGTTTTCACAAATCTTATATGTAAAAAAATGTTTAAAAAATAAATTTTACATAATGTTACTTCCTGAAAAAAGTTATGTGTGCATGGTAATGGATATGTTAAATAGCTTAACTTAGCCAACCACAATGCAGACATACAAAAAGCTTCAGAAATTCTAAATCTGAGAAAATGTGCTATCAGTAGACATTATGTAAGGAAAATGTTCAAGAAGGACCTTCAGAAGGTTATGCCAGATGGAAGCTCTTATCTACACGAAGGAATGAAGAAAACAAGAAAATGAAATGTGGGAGAATAAAAAAATGGCTACTCTTTATCATTTCTAACAACAGTTTAGAAGACAACTAACTGTGTATAACAGAGACAGGACAAGGTGGGGTCATCTGTCAGCGCCTACCTTTTCTTTCCTCACCAGCACTGGCTCCATTTCTCCACACACAGTCAACTCACATCTGTTTTTGAGGTAATGCACTTGCCCCTATAATTACACAATTTCCTTTCTCAAAGTTCTACTGGGTAGTGAAGAGCTTATCTTGCACTCATTTCATATCTATCACATGCACACAGATACACACACACAGATACACACGTACACACACACACACGTACACACACACACACACAGAGAGAGAGAGAGAGAGAGAGAGAGAGAGAGAGAGAGAGAGAGAGAGAGAGAGAGAGAATTTATCTCTAAATTCTCTGGATGTAGTAGATTAAATATGTGCTGATAGTGAAATGATATTATTTCTCCTAATGATTTTTTCTTATCTGAATCCATTTTCCTCAAAACATAGCCTCATATAACTGTAGTGGATGCTCATAGATACCAGAAGAGATCAGAGTGGAAACTACAAGCATTCTGAACATCCAGTTGCCATAAAATTGTGTTGTATGCAATATTTTTAGCAAGAGTGTTTAAGCCAATTTGAAGAATTTTAAAAATGTATTTGAAACAAAGGTCATATATTTGGATGTTTTATTTTTAAATATACACCAAATGTTCTTTAGTATCAAGTAATAAGTGTTTTGGACTCCAAGCTAGTGTTCTTATTAAATATTATCTTGTTAAATCAGAAATTCAAATTAAAATAAATTTTTATTTGCATTTGTATAGTTTAATTTAACACATGCAATTTATCTGAAGTAAAGCATTTGGTACTTAATTAAAAGCTGTTATGAGTATTATATATATACTGTTGATCAAACACTGATAATTCCCCATCATTCACTGACCTCTCTAGGACTTTGAATCTCGGTTTCATTTTCTATAAAACTTGAGTCTTGGGATAGATAAATTTTCTCAGACTTACAGATTCATGAAAGAGTTAAAAAATGGCTAAGTCAATTAGGGTTGGCAGTTTTCCTTTGGAATAAGGATATAAAACAAGCCAATATATGAATTGTCATTACTAGTTCAAACATTTCCTTAAGAAAAACATTTTAGCATTAAAAATCAAGGTGCCAAATTCCAAGGAGATAAATACTTTATATTGCAAAAATGAGAATTATTTTTAAATTCTGGTGTTAAATTTTCCATGTTACTTTTCTTATTTCATTTCACATACTTATCCAAATAATTTCACTTTGTCTCAAATCATTTTATGGACCAAGGCTTTAAATGCATTTGATTACATGAGTTCTAGTCTCGATTACATTCACAAATGGTGACCTATTGTCTTATATTGATGCAATATATTAAGTAAATTTAATTAATCAACATTATGTGAGCAAATGTAACTTAAGTCAATTTACTAAACCTAAATAAAATTATAGCTTTAAAAGAGCAAAAATGAGCTGCTAATGTTTGATAACATGCCTTGCGATAAGACATTTTAGGTCCTAAGGGAAATGACAGTACCATTCACATTAGCTGAAGTTTCTTTCTGCAAGCTCGAAAGGGAAGTTGAACTGTGGTAATACCGTTTTTTATCTTGAAGGCCAAAAGTGGTTTTGAGAATGTGTGCTATCATTTCCTTCAACAACTCAGTACAGAACCAATCTTGAGTTCCTCATTTCTACACTTGCAGAGGCAGAAACACAGCTCACTTTCTTTCCTGGTCTTTTCTCCTGTGAGCCCCGTGGAAAGGCTCAGAACAGTGTTTTATTCACCATGTGTAACTATGAAATAACATTCATCGGTGGCAGAGAGACGGACTAAGTGCATCTGACATCTCTTGATCATTGGGACAGAATATGGAAATGTCACTGGTTTTCTTTTCTCAATTAAACATGTGTGAATCAAAGGAGAAAACTTTTTTCAAACTAATGCATGGGTCAGGAAAAGAAGAAACAAGCATCGAGGCCAAAATCAGGTAAAATTAGAGACGTTTAGGTCAACCTTGTACTTTAGAAAGCAAGGTTGAGGAATATGTGTTAGCTCTGACTTTGTAAATACTTTGTTGAAAATATATTGATTGAGTGCTGCAATTGAAGATGGAAGCTTTCTTATATTTTTAAACTACTGATGTTTAGTCTAATTTAACTTCATTTTTAAAAGGTTTACAATTTTAGCCACACCAAAGCATTAAAATAGCAATTAATAAAACAGACCCTCAAATACTTGTTTGTTGACGTACAAAAGAATTGTATGTGGCGTGCTCTATGCTAATTCCTCTATAGGCTATTTAATTAAAACGGATTAAGTAAAAGAAGGTGTATTTCTGAATGGAGGTGGGTGTTTATCAATTCCAAATTTTTTGGGGAGGATGAATAAGACTTCTGTGATATCAGAATGATCCTGAATGTATTATTGTTTTTACAGAGCTAAAGAAAAAAGAAATAGGCTAAGTCTTCTCCTACAGAGGCCTGACTTCCATGGGGAGACTCACACCAGCAGATCTGCCCTCCTGGCCAAAGAAACAAGGTAGGGACCATCAATTCCCTGTGAGCATAGTTTTCTGGTTCTATAATTCATGATTAAGGGAAAAGGAAATGAGAGTAAATATGCTATTGGAAACTAAATAGTAACGTCAACACAGTGCAGTATTTCATTTCCCAAAACAAAGAATAGTTCTAATATTCAACCACTTTCATAACCCAAATCAAATAATTAGAACTTTCAAATGTGTCCTCTCATAATTGATGGGCCTGTCCATTTTAAAAGATATCCTTTATAGCCCATTAATTGATGAAGTAGTATTTTCTTTAGGTACTGTAAATTTGTCACCAGAAAAGTTTACTTATCTATTTCCTCAGATTAAGAACGTATCTCATGAATGGCAGCATGAAATACACAAATAAAGGAAGTGTTGTAATTTGGTTAAGCATTTTCTTAACTCAAAAAATAAAAATAGCCTTATCTATTATCGTATAGTTATTTAAATTTTGAATATGTCTAGTTAAAGATACAAAAATATTTCACTTTCTGTTTTATTGGCCTCTCTAATCATATCAAAACCAGCTTTTACCTTACCCCTTGAAACTTCACCAATCTTCATGCATTTAAAAGAAGGAAGAAAGCAAGAATCATACAAAAACCAGCACCTTGTAGTTACAGATTCAAAGAAATTGCATTTTTAAAAAAAGGAAGAAAGAAAGAAAGCACTGGAAAGACACTGTTTATGCTTTCTTACTTGCTGAATTTTTTAAAATGTAGTTTATCTGATCTCTCTGTCTCTGTCTCTCTATCTGTCTCTCACTTTCTCAAAATCTCTCTCTCTCTCTCTCACTCATCTTTAACTTAACATATGACTACTTTTATTTAAAAACTAAAACAACTTTGACACTTTGGGAAAAACTGCAATATTTCATTGTTCAGTGGGAAAATAAAAAGGAAAACTGAGTGCTGTCGAAGAGTCCACTGTCAGTTTGACTTGGGCTTAGAAAAGCAGAAGGAGAGAGTCTGCGGGGGCGTCCGAGGAGAGCGCAGGCTGCTGAGCGCCTGTGCTGCGGAAGGATTCAGAAGTGAACGCGCTGCTCACTCCATCAAACATTTTGTTTTTTGCACAGAGTCTCCCGCGAAGAAGCAGTGAAATGGGCTGAATCATTTGACAAACTGCTTTCTCATAGAGGTTAGTGGGGTTTTCACCAAGCCCTCATTCCTTAATAAGACATTAAGATTACATATCTGCAATTATCAAAGGCAAATCGTCATCCGAGTTTTATATACCAGTAAGTAATTTGCAGTAATCTGAGTTCTAGTCGATGGGGGCAACTAAGGAAAAGAGTAAGGGCGAAAGGAAAACATATTTTTAATTTTCTTACTTATTCAGAGTTACTGTTGGTGAAATATTAGTTATTTCTTTATTCTTTAGTTAGCAGCTACAACATTTAAATTTTAAATTACTATTATTTTAAATTTTCTAATATTTGAAAGAGAACTGGTTTTATTGAAAGTATATTTAATACATTAACCACATTATTTTATTCTTAATAGTCAAAACCTTGAAGTGGCTTCTTTGATATTTAGGGAATCCTCATGAAGATAGCTTTTTAAGAAAATTCTGATAAATTCCTATAGGTAGCCCTATAATACATCCACTTTTAATTATTTCTTTTATTTTTGGTATTAAAATTACATTATTCCCACCTTCCTTTCCTTCTCACAAACACTCCCATGTAGCCTTCATTGCTCCTTTTCAATTTTATGACCTAATTGTTGTTATGTGCATATTTGTAGATCTATTTTAAGGCAGAATCTTATAAAGAAGTTAAGAATCAGGTGCTTATTAATGCTTAGCATTGTGCCCTATTTCGGGGGAAGAATTAGAACAGGCTTGATTCTTCAACCTTAAGTTTGGTCAGGGGCAGGCAGCCAGGATTTGTACTTCAAATACCAGGTATGCAAACTGTTTTTCTGAACGCTGTTTATTTTTCTCAAGTTTCAAAGTCAACAATCTGCATTTCATATTTCATGGGAAAACACAGTTTATTTTCCTTTCTGACCTGTTCAACAGAGAAAGTGAAACTTCATCAAGACCAGACACACAGGAATCCTGAGCTACAGCTTTTCTTTGTCTGCTCAATGCTGTATCTTACTTTACTCTTTGAAACATCACCCCTTCTGTGCTCCTTCCCCAGACTATCCCAAGAACAGGACAGGAAACCACTTCACACTTTAGCATGGCAGACCCAGTGGGCTTCCCATCCTCAAGTGTGTGCTGGAAGAAATGTTTATCATGAAGAGGGGAACTTGGAGAGGAAAGCAGACATTGGGCCTCTTTCATCACTAAGAAGAAGCAATTTCTCTTGTATTTCCTCATTTTCCAGTATATGCATAATGCTGAATACATTCATTGTTTATTGGGAACATTTACAACGATTTCTTCTGTGCCATACATGGTGTCACACCTTCTAACCCCAGGACCATGAAGCTGGAAACAGGAGGATCTGATTTAAGACTAGCCTCATTTACATACTAGTTTTGAAGTTAGTCTGGGCTATGATAACCTATTCAAACTCTTAAAATGTTTTCTTCTAATACTTTTATAAATACAGTAAGTTATTGTTCATCATCACCCCACTATATGTATAGAACATACAAGTCATTCCTTCCAACATAAATAAATTTACACTCAATCCCTAACTTCTCTGTAGCCTCTGTTTCCTTGAACCCCTTTTAGTCTTGTTTATTCTCTATATTCTACTCTCAATTTCTATTAGTGTGTGGTGACCCCAACTCTTTTACTTCTATGAGATAAACTTGTTTATACTCCACATGAAGCCTCTGCCTTTACACCTGAATTATTCAACATGACATCTTCCCATTTCATCCATATCACCATCCATATTACAAGATGCATACCTAAGTTAACTCTGTACCTTAAACACTGTGTGTACAGTCATCTTCACTTTTTTTGCTGTCAATATTTTACTTCAAGCATATACAGTTTCCTTCATAATTTCAACTTATAAAGTATTTCCTTTTTAGAATTTTCTTTCAGTTAACATTTTGTACACACTAGTCTTTAGTCCCTATTAATGAAAATTATCTTAAAGAAAGATTCTTCTTTATAACTGAGTGATGATTTGTTAGAAGTAGCCATATATGGTTTCATCTGTGGAGCCTCACAGGAACATGAACCCTGAAAAATAGTAAGCGCCTACATACTAAAATTAGATTTGTTTCTAGAGAAGTTATGCTGGATCTCCTCTAAGATGTGAGATATTTCTGAAACATAAATGGCTGTATAGTCTTGGTTGTGCTCTATAATCTCATTGGCTTTCAGTGCCCACATGTAAACTTAGAATTTTTTTTTATTTCCCAAAGCAGCAGATTCAAGAAGTATTAAATGGCATGATGCATAAGAGACTAACAAAGAGTAGCATCTATACAAATACAAATGACTGCTTCTGTAGTAAATTATATTATCACTTTAAAATAATCTTTTTCTATTTCCAGTAGGTTATAAACTAGACAACCAAGAGAAAGGGGGGTTGAAATTTCAATTGGAAGTAGTGTTTAAACTGGATTTATTTTTCTAATTAACAACCTGCTATATAACAACTCCATCATGCCCTCATCATCCAAAGTGAAGAAATACTAGGACATAGATTAGTCCTCACCTCACATTATGTAATTCTCATTTACAAGCACTGAAAACCAAACAGGCTGAATTTTTTCCCTAGTGGTGGAAATATGAATAAGCTGTAAACTACCCACAAGTTAAGGTAAACGGATGTGATGTGAATTTAAACACTTCATCACTCACTTACTTGTATATTAAAATCACATCTTACAACCAAAGTGTTAAATAGTTATAATAAATTCACAAATTATGCTACTAGTTTTACTTTACTGATTCAATTATTTTTTGTTGTAGTGATAATTGTAAAACTAAATTATGAAACTTCAAATAATTACCTTACATACTCTTGATTACAATATTGAACTTAGTCCATTTCTAGAAATTTGGCACTGTGGAGGATAAAAGAAATTAGATGAATAGTTGAAAAGTTATCCTATGGAAAAATATATGCACATGTACACAGACATTTCAAGAGAGACCCAGATACTTTAAGTTTTATATTATTTCCCTGGGATTAAATGGGTTGGTTACTCAAGTTCAGTATACCATATCCGTATAAAAGTACAAAACATTAAATTTAGTCAAACAGGAAATGAAGTTACATATCAAATGAGATGCAATAGAAATCTGATTACATTATTTCATAAAATGAGCTCCTGTGAAAACCAGCATAGACTCACTAGGAGTAGTGGCTTTATCAATACAATCACAGAATAAGCAGTGTTGACACTATTTTCAGAGGGTTCATAGAAGTTCCAATCAAGCAGGCAGTCTAGGCTTGAGAGTTTACATTTCTGACTGATTCAGCAAATCAAAAAAGTATTTCTTTATTGCAGCATATAACTCAAAATGGGGAGAGTTAAAAAAAAAAAAAAGACAGACAAGACCCACCCACGAGAGTAAAACAGGAAAGTACCTGGATTTCCCTTATCCCAAAGAAAGCAGAGCTTCTAAGAGGTGTTTGGATAATTATCATCTTCAAATGTGTTTATATTTATTTATTTTATTATTTATGTGTATGAGTGTTTTGCCTTTGTGCAAGTATGTACACCACATGTGTAAGAATAGGTCTTCCATTCCCTGGATCTGGAGTTAAAGATGATTTGAGCCTCCATGTGGGTACTAGTAACCAAACCTGGGTCCTCGGCAAGAGCTGCTAGTTTTCTGAAATGCTGAGCCAACTCTACATCCTAATTTTGATGATTTTCTTATTCACAGTTTAATTTTAAAATTAAATTGAAACACATAGAAAAGTGAAATCCAATAAAATGTACATTTGGTAAGGACTTTAGTTAATATATAAAAACAGTTTCATTAATGTTATTATGCATCAAGTTAATATAAGGTATTAGTGGCAGGAAAAATCAAATGTAGAGGATATGAAAACAATGTGTGAGTATCAAAACCTTCCATAAATACAAATATGATCTAAAATAAATTTCTATTCAAATGAGCTTAATGATATATTGCAATTTTTAACATAACAGAATCCAATTTTTGTTCCTTATTTGTTTCTATGACAACATTCAGATATTTTTATTTTAAATCTTTATGTCTTAGAAATTTGTCTGAAGTTGAAAATGAATCATAAAAATATAATTTAAATGTATGGATTTATTAATTTACAAATGCTGTTTAGTAAATCAAAATGTATTCATGTATCAAAAAATACTATCAGAGTGTAATCATTAATTTCAAATTACATGGACTACCTTTATAGAAGTGAGACTTATCACTATGAATTTGAATATTATATGTGAAATAATGCAAATGAAATGTGTATATTATACACACATACATACATATATATGTTGATATATACACATATATATGCTTAGAGAAACATATATATGTTTAGAAAAAGCCAGTATTTTGACATGATACAAAAAAGCAAACAGTTCAGGTAATAATGAACAAAACATTGAAAAATCAATTTGAGGGCATGTTTTTGGAAACTCTTATGTTGGAAAGCTACCTCTGATGGACAGAAAGGTGGAATGTCATCAATTGGGTACCTACAAGGACTTCTCAAATAAAAACCTATACACTAAGGTAAGGACCATGTTGGAAGGAAATTTGATGATCTTGCTGAAGTACTGATTGTGTACATATACTTTAGAATAAGAAGGTGAAAAATAAAAGGATGAGCCAACAATATCTAGGTTTTCTCTCTATGAAGTGGAAGATACTGTTCTTGTTTCAGATGAAAAGTGGAAGGTAAGGCATGTAGAGAGTAAAAGGTTACTGTTAGAGACTGTTTAGTTGACATATAACCTTATCATCAGTTTTTCACATTTGTAGGCTCATAGCTAGAATATGTAAGTGACTCTGGCATATAGATAGACAAGTTGCAAACTCTCACAGGGGGATTTAAAAGAGAATGGTACCTTCTGTGAGAGGTATCTCTACCAACTGCAGATATTTAACAGCTTATTTTAAATGCCCTCTTTCCTAGTCACTACAAACCTTCACAATATATTTAACTCTTTTCATTATGATTAGTTCATTGCAGACCTTTATACCTTTAGTTGTAGCTCTGATAA